GAGAAATATGATAATGTTGTTAAAGAGCATATAAAAGTTAAAATGGGTAAGGATAAAAACTGTCCAATTTTATAAAGGACGAGGAGTGAATATAAGTTGTTTTTAAACGTTCAAGGGTGTAAAAATAGAGAGATGAAATGTGTAGGATTCAACCTAAATGCTGATCATTTAAACTGATCCAAATTATTCTTGGACAGTACAAAGGGTTTTTTGCTTTAGAACGGCATTGTTTAATTTGGACAGGGTTTTCATAATTATTTTCATTTTTTTATTTTTAATAATAATTTTTTTTAATGCTTTTATTATTAATATTATAATATTTTTTTTCTTTTATGGCGTTGTTTATTTGGCTTGGTTTCTCTCTAAAACTAAAAATCCTGGCCAACTTGTTTATATTCAGAATTAACTATTTTGTCTCCAGTAAAAAAAAAATTATTATCTTTTAATAATATATTCTTTTATGATTTTGTTTTTAAAGAAAACAAAGTCTGTTTACGTGACTTTTAAATTTTACATCATTTGAAACTGATGCGTTTTTCAATACCATATAGCGGCAGACTAAAAAAAAGGAATTTGGCACCACATACAACGGCAATATGGCACCCCATACAACAGCCATATGGCAACCCAGACAAAAGCAATATGGCACCCCAGACAACACTTTTTGCGCTCTGAGATAATATTTTTGTTAATTTTATTAAAACTGTACCCCTTGACTACCCCCATGCCTTCATTACTTATCGATTCGATAGCACAGAATCAAGTTTTAAAAAAGATTACAAATTAAACAATTATTTTAAACATTAAATAGATTATAGTTGTATTACGATGTTAGTATAGCCAATACCATTACCAGTTTTACGTTAGGATGTATCTCTAGTGAATATGAACAGTTTTTTTCAAGGAGATGATTTTTTTCATTTTGAAATATGATTTTTTCAAGTGCTCATATAAAAAGCGAGATTTATAGCGGCTCTCGTAATCATTGAATTGGGGGGGGGGGGGGTCGCCGATTCCGTATCAGTTAATATTCATCGGAGAGCCTTTTGCGTCCATTTTGAAACCTAAAAAAAATTATTTAAATCTAATTTAATAACATTTGAACAAAAGCATAAAAAAATCATTTATATAAAATAAAACAGTTTATAAAAATGGAATCTTCTAAAATGAGGTCGAAACTTCAAGAAATTAAAAAAAAAATACATTTTAACAAATAACTTGTAAAAATTTTATTATGCAATCATTATTTCAATACTGACACATCTGAGAACAAAATGCCCTAATTCTAGACGTTTTCCATTACAGTTAAAATAAGGGACCCAATACAACTATGTATCCCTATATAACTTTGTACCCCATTTCTTCAATGTATCCCTATATAACTTTGTACCCCAATTCTTCAATGTATCCCTTTATAACTTTGTATCCCAATTCTTCAATTGTATCCCTATATAACTTTGTATCCCAATTCTTCAATGTATCCCTATATAACTTTGTATCCCAATTCAACTATATATCCCAAGACAACTATGTATCCCAATAAAACTTTTTATCCCTATTCATCTATGTCTCCCAATTTAACTTTGTATCCCAATATAACTATGTATCCCAATAAAACTATCTATCCTAATACAATTATGTATCCCAATACAACTATGTATCACAGAACAACTGTGTATCCTAAAATAACTATGTATTCGAAATTGGATAAATATGTACTCTAATACAAGAATGTATCCCAAGTTTAATCAATATCCATTAATCCATGCAGAAATGTATACGTTACGAGCAGACATATGGTTTCATGTACACAGTGCATTCCTAGCAGTCCAGAAGATGTTTGGATAAACATTTGAAATATGAGTTATTTATTTTATTTTTTTATTTATGACATAAAAAATGAAACTTAAATGAACATTTTCATAGTGATGAATATTATTGTTCATTCTTCGCATGTGAAGATGACCAAGGATTCGAATTGAGTAGCAGCCTTGACTAGAGCTTTTTATTTTGTTTAAATCAGTGGTTCTCAACCTGTGGGTCACGATGCCTTTGTGGGTCGAACGACCCTTACACGGCGGATGCCGAAGACCATCGGAAAAACACATTTTATTATTTACAAAGCAGCAATGAAAATTATATTACGGCTAGGATTCACCACATCATGAGGAACTGTACTTAGGGTTTGCAGCATTAGGCAGGTTGAGAACCATTGGTGCAAAGTGAGTGAGAGTTACTCAATTCGTCAGCCTCACTCTCTCGTCCTTACCTATTTTGTTCCAATGGCAAATGACTTAGTCTATACAACTGGAAATAGGCCAGGATAGAGGAGTTCACCAGCAGTTTGCCTTGTGTGCCTAGCTGTGCTCTTTATACCTCAACGTCGCAGGAGATTCGGAATTTTCATTGTGGCAATGTCGTGCCGCCCACGGGACTCCATCTCCGGGTTTTATATCAGTTTGTCTTAGATGAGTAGCCAATCCAAGGTTGACGCATCCCATCCAACCGGTTTGATGAATACTGGCGTGACGTTTTTATGGGTTTTCACTGATCATTCTCTTGCACCATTTTCAACTGTAAAATAATTTAGACCGAAATTCATTGTGCGTGGCAGTTAAGAAGCGTATTTCATCCGATGCAAAAACATGTCGATTATTCTATTAAAAAGGTGAATCTATCATTAGATTAAAATTATAACGTTTTTACAAATTGTGTCGTTGAGACGTTACTATACTATATTAAATAATGTATGTCAATTAATTATTTCAGATTTTTTTTATTATGTTTGTTAAATTGTATGTACAGCGTGGTGAGCCTAGCCCTAGGCCGGGGTACCACGCTATAGAAAACCACGTGTAATAATAATTTTAAAAAAAATACTCATAAAGCGCACGCAACCATTAAGTGACGTAGTTTTTTGGTTTTTTTTTTAACTAAACGTTGATGTGGACATAAATCAAGATCTTGCGATTCTCCCTTCCCAATGCAGATCTCCAATATCAAGTTTTTATTACAAATTAATACAAGACCCCCTTCCTTTCCCATGACTGTTATGACCCCCTTCCTTTCCCATGACTGTTATGACCCCCTTCCTTTCCCATGTCTGTTATGACCCCCTGCCTTTCCCATGACTGTGATGACCCCCTTCCTTTCCCATGACTGTTATGACCCCCTTCCTTTCCCATGACTGTTATGACCCCCTTCCTTTCCCATGACTGTTATGACCCCCTTCCTCTCCCATGACTGTTGTGACCCCCTTCCTTTCCCATGACTGTTGTTATACCCAAATCACGCCAAAGCATTCTTAAATCACGCCGCTGAACCACGTGATAACTCTCATCAAATGCACAGCACCCACTTCTACCACGCGATGAACTGTAGCTTATTAAAATGGTACAACACATATTCCCGTATATTTCAAGAATAGGATTGTATTTTTATTTTTATTTTTAAACCTATTTCAAATATTTGCGAACATGAATTTTCTCTTGAAAAAGTTTAATTCATGAGTAGACCAAAACATGAACGATTATGGTGCAATGGGGACATGGGGATTTTTTGATGGTGATGGATTATCTTCAGATTGTCCACTATGGCCGTGACATCTGACCAGCCAGGAATACCAGGTCCATAAGGACATCTCAGTAATGAGATTCCTTTCAAAGGCAAGTATCTAATCACATGAAAGTGGTAATCCTCATCAAGGTTGAGTTGACCGTTGTAGCTAAGTGAGTCGATTGGTGTTGATAGTGTTCTTCTAGTAAAATCTGCCTTTCGGAAATGCGAAGAAAGGCCTCAACCTTACTAACACTAGGCCTAAGCCGTACTGACACTAGGCCTCAACCGTACTAACACTAGGGCTCAACACCATACCATAAGGCATACTTCTCTGAGCGTGTGATGGGGTCTTCACTCTCAGCACTCTCGCCCCTCATCTTTGTTGTAACAGCTACGAAGGCGAGCTGGACCACCATCCAATGTGTACTTGCAGCTCTTTAACGCAGTGCGCCAATTATGTCATAATCAGGTCTGCCGCTCTCTCTCTCTCTCTCTCTCTTTCTACCTCCCTCGCTCACACATAAGGCTACAACTGAAATTCTTTTTTTTTTTTAATACAAAATTTTAAAAAGAAAAGTTAGACCAAAAAAAAGTTAGACAACATCAAAAGTTGGCTAAAATAAAAATCAGAAGAAAAAAAAAAGTTAGCAAAAATCAAATTTAAACAAAATTCAAAGTGAGACATTTCTGCTAATGCCTTCATTATTAAACTTTAAAAATAATATATATTAATATTTTATTAGGTATCTAAATTGTACTTGGCATTTCCACACAAAAAAAATTTGATTCTTAGTATTAAAAGGTAAATCTCAGATAATATTTATTGGCGTTAAAACTACTAAGGTTAAGCTGATTGCTATATATAAGTTGTGTTTCACGTGATAACCACATTAAGACACAGGGTCTCGTGATTCTTCTCAGCTGAACCACGAAAAGACGAGCAGTCGTTACATCTCATATCTAACTTAACACCCAATTGGTAATGCTCCGTTTTCGTTATGTATATGCGAATAAAGTAATACTAAATGGTTTTGTGAACCGATTTAAAAAAAAAAAATTATAACATTTTTTGGTTTCCATTTTTAAAAAAAACAACATCCGAATTTTATTTTTTTTTGTTTTTAAATATTAGAAAAAATAAATGTTTGTTGAATATTTATTAATTGGACAATCACCGCCTTGCGGTTCTCTGGTACAATCCCTAAGTAAATTTTTATTATTTGATATTTTTTATTCATTTTTTATTACTGTTCGCTGACGAAGGCTTCTTGCCAACACGTTCGCTGTTTTGTTTTGTCCTTTTCCCCCAGCCATTTCGCAAACCTGTGTTATATATTCCCTTTAATGATAACAGGTTAAGAACCGCTTTCAGCTGTACCTCGTATTTTAATCAGACATTGATATGAAGACAAGACTCGTTCACAAAGTCTTCAAATATTAGCGACAAGGTTTGTCTTCCAACGGTTGTTTCACTTGATCGCAGAATTGAGCCTCCTTGACTTTATCAGGTAGATTATAGTGTAAATAGATGTGCGTATTTTTAAAAAATGACACATTTTTACGCTTAGCAGTATTGTATATTAGTGTATATTAGTGGATATTAGTGGATATCAGAAAATAACAATAGGTGGAACTAACAGGGGGCTGTAGTGGATTCGTTAATAAAGCAGTGGGATAGAAGTTATTCGTGGATGCTTTGGATAAAAATCGTTCAGCAATGTAGTGGATATCTGTGGTCCAGTCTAGGTTTCCATGGGACAAAGTGACGAAGTGCACAAATGGAAGAAGGAGGATGAGAGAATCATGACGTCATACAAATGGGAATAGGCTGGTTTTATTTATACATTTTTTGTTTTGTTTATCTAGACACCTTTGAAAGTTTTAATGAGACATTTAAACAAATAATTTAATGCATATTTACTTTTTTAAAAAAATAGAACTCATTTTCCTTGAAATCGTTTCTAGACGGAGAAATGTCTTCTTAATGAGAAGACGATTCTCTGTTTTTGAAGTTTTCCCAGGAAAGCAATCATCCAGCGATCACTACGTAACATATTTTATTTCTACCAAGACATATCTTCAAAGATAATATTATCTCACCAGTCTGAACAAGAATTAAAAAAAAAACACCTGAAGATTCTGAATACATCGTGATACATCTGGTTTAAGATACTTGAGATACTTGTGATAACGATATTGTGTTAGCTAAACCCTTACGCAGCCGGTGTCCTATGTCACATGATGTCAGAGAGATATTACCTTGGAAACTTACTAGAACGGAGTAGCTGAACTTTGATACTGTATTCTGTGTAGCCGTTATGAAAGCTTAACCCACATTGTTTCGCCTCAATAAATTGTGTGTGTGTCTCAGTAATCCACTTGAACGTTTTATCGCAGTCCCAACACTCTGGATCGCTGGATTCAGTAAGAGAATCAGGGTGGGGGGATCGTTTCGGGAAGATGGGTTTTCTTTAACGATACCACCGCGACCATTTGCAGCCGCTGGCTTATGCGTGAACGGGGGCGTAGCTACGGTAAGAGCCAACCTGGGGTGGGGGGGGGGGCGAGTTGATAATTTTGCTGTTCCATGCCACGGTAAAAACTCTGCATGGATGTGTCATAAGTTTTAGTATAAAATAGAGGTTATTATCCTCCCTTGCTTTGCTTATATTTCAGACTTGTCAACGACTGCAGCCTGGGAGATTGTTCAATGACGTCAGCCTGGGATATTGTTCAATGACGTTTGGCTTACTCGGAAGAATTGGGACAATCTGAAAGCTGCCCTAATTCATCAAATCACCTGGGCCGTACACATACAAAAATAATGTAAGGTTCTTGAAACGAATTCTGACAATTATGAGATCAATTATTTTTATTTAGACAATTTTTCCAAATTTATTTATACTTGTCTATCTATTTCCCCAGTCACTCGTTTTTACTTAAATGACAAAGACATTTTTTTTTTTGAAATAAGGAAAGGTCCTTTATTTACCGTTTCCGTCAGTTGTATTTGACTAAAAGATTTCATAATGAATTTACTTTTTTTGTTTTTTTGTTTTGTTTTGAAAGCAAACTAGATCATGAAGATTGACGAAACATGAAAACTAAGCAGGTTCAGGAAGAAAAATGTGTAATTTGTACAAAATGATCAATAAATTGATCGTGGGCCCTTACTATATAGAAGAAGAAGAAACATTTCGAGTAAAAGGAACAACATTTCTTTGTCAACATCCCCTATAAAATAAATGCCAGGTACCCGATTTGAAATGTATAAGTGATGTATACTGCAGAGAACAAGAGATCAGAAGAAGGTTGTGGCAACAAAACCTCGGTGCTGGTAACTGAAACAATAATAATGATGGGAGACAACAGATGTATGTGAATTTGAAAATACGATGAAATATTCGATACAGCTGTTATAATTGCATTGTGTTCTCAAGTTGACAAGAGAGGAACTATGTAGAATCAAATGATTTGATCGCGCAGTCGTTTGGGGAGGTTGTCTTTCAAAACCACATCCAATGCTTCCTACAACTACGACGGTACTTCCTGTTGAAACAAAGGATTGCCTGTGTCTAATTCTATTCCAGTTTTAAAGCAATTTTGCAGCTTATTGCAGCTTATTTTAGTGTTTAAACATTTGAGAATGTCACCCTCCCCCCCCCCCCCCCCCCGGTCTTATTCTCAGTATTCGGAAAGACTGGTTTTCTGCATGAATTTAAAAATAAAAATAAATTAAAAAATTGATACAGACACGATTTATATATGTATTCATAATTTTGCAAGTTGAAACTAACAAACCAAGACATTTTAAATTAAAACACACACTGGCAAACTTTTTAAATAGTTCATTTTCAAAAAGACTTCATTATTTCACAGGGACGAGAGACAGAATGACAGCCGGACGTCTTTGGTAAGAAATACAGAGAGCCATGACGATAAGAGTGAACTCTATAGCAACACTGTTTCAAAACAGATCTTTATAAAAAATAAAAATAAGTGATCCACGCAGAAGATTTGACTGCGAGAGAATGATTGAATAGTTTTAGTGGTTTTTTTTTTTTTAAATATAAATTTAAGAATGAAAAGAAATCAATGTTTCAGTTGTTTTTTTTTAAATTTATGTTTCAACTTCAAAATAACCATCAATGGTAATAAGATGATTTGATTACGTTTTAAGTATTCAAAATTTTCAAATACTTTTTAAACAACCATGACAAGAACATTAATGTGCCATTGTACTGTCGATTATAGGAATTGGCAATGATTTCATAAATTTGCTTTTATTTCTTTTTAAAACTTCACGAGTTTCATAACAATTTTTTATTTTAAATTCAAGATTGTTAAAAAGAATTCTTTTGATCATTTAATTTTTTTAATAAAAATAATATTTTTATAAGCTTATTACTTGGGGTTTAAACAAATACAAATCTAATAATTTTCACACTTGTGTACTTTTCATCTGACAGGAAAGCTTCTTTTCACGAGAGACAAAGTGTGGACCAGAGGAGATTGAGTGTTTCATAAAATTGTTGAGTGAAAATTGGAGTCAACTTAATGATGTTTGCAAAACTGAACGTCTGATGATGTTAACAAAACTGTTGGCAAAATACGGGCACATGCTACCGAGCATTGAACATTCTTTCAAAATATTTAACATTGCAGGTGATAAGATGTTTATTTTGCTTACTGATAGTGTTCGAACCTAGGTGGCTCACTGAAAGTGTTAGAAAGTATCTCGCTGGCTTGCAGATAGTGTTAGAAAGTATCTAGGTGGCGCTTACCAATGGGGTTACAAAGTATATAGGTGGCTTACTGATGCTGTTAGAAAGTATCTAGGTGGCTTACTGATAGTGATGAAAAGTATTTAGGTGGCTTACTGATGGTGTTAGAAGGTATCTAGGTGGCTTGATTCAAAGGTCAAAATTGCCCCCCCCGCCCCCGCGCAACACTTTTGAAAACAATCGTGTGACGAAAGACAGCAATCTTCGCGGCGCAGCTATGGGGACACAAGGTGTTCAGGGCTTTTGTGACCAAGATAATAAATATGAATATATTTTCTTAGAAATATAGATTCAGTGAAAGGTGTAAATATGCGAATGATGATACATCATGGTGGATCATATGTGGATGATTATACATCATGGTGGATCATATGCGGATGATTATACATCATGGTGGATCATATGCGGATGATTATACATCATGGTGGATCATATGCGGATGATTATACATCATGGTGGATCATATGCGGATGATGATGCATCATGGTGGATCATATGTGGATGATTATATAAGGGTGATTATAAAGAAGTTTGCTTTAAGAACAGATCGCAGTATTGTTATTTATTTTTAAATGACACAAATAAACTCATTAATTTTATTTTCACATGCTTCTACTGTGCTAATCTCTTGCCTGTGTGTGTGTGTGTGGGGGGGTTAGATTTATTTCTCCCCTGAAATATCCAACATACATGATCTATCTGATATTTCAGACCTTGCTTGATGCCCTTATACACCCCCTACTCCGTGTCTGAATACTTCCATTAGAGGTAAAATCTTAATTTTGCGTCATGCCTAAAGAAACATGGTATACAAATTTGATCCTTTTTTTTCTTCTCTCTCAGCCATACTTATGGAGATTTTAAAGCAGTCGCCAGAGATTGAAGACTCCAAAGAAGAGAGAAGCAGTTTTGTTAGGCTTCAAAGAACAGCTCTTCACATCTGCGCTGCTGCCTCGGAAATAAGTGCAGTAATTTCAAAGGTTAGGATTTTTTTGATTTTTTTTTTTTGTTAAGGAAAAAAACAACTCAATCTCAAAATTATACTTCTCAAAATAGTTTTATTTCTTAGTTTTCATGTAGTGAGTTAAATTACTTTTTTTTTTCTATTCTATATGTTGAGGGTCCACGATCAATGCACTGGTCATTCTAGTATCACATTTGATATTGTCTAAAGTTAGTTGTTTTTTTCCCCTTCCAGGAGCTCGCTAACAATTACGCGATCCATTTTTTAACTTTATTGATGGGAAAGGATGGATCTTATTGGGAGTTGGAAGAAAAGGTTGGTTTATTATTATTATTATTTATTATTATATACAAATAAATATTGTAAAGAATTGATTTTTTCCCTTTTAACTTTAAGATCAACTTTGCGGTGGAAAAAATAATTCATCTTTTAACTGAATAAAAAAAAAAATCTAAATGAAAATAAATTGTACTAGCTTTTTAATCCCTGCTATGAACGTGGACAGGAATTCCTTGAAGTTCAAAGAAACTGTGTTGAAGCTCTGATCAACGTGTGCAGGAGGGAATCAGATGTGCAAGCCTTCAGGGAAATACGTGTCAAATGGGTAATTTGTTTTCATATCTACATCAAGCAATTACAAAGGGGTTAAAAATAATGAAAAGAGGGTGACGAAGTATTAAACAAATTAAGAGAAGAGAAGTGCTTAACTAATGAAGAGAAGTGCTTAACTAATGAAGAGAAGTGCTTAACTAATGAAGAGAAGTGCTTAGCTAATGAAGAGAAGTGCTTAGCTAATGAAGAGAAGTGCTTAGCTAATGAAGAGAAGTGCTTAACTAATGAAGAGAAGTGCTTAGCTAATGAAGAGACGTGCTTAGCTAATGAAGAGAAGTGCTTAGCTAATGAAGAGAAGTGCTTAGCTAATGAAGAGAAGTGCTTAGCTAATGAAGAGAAGTGCTTAGCTAATGAAGAGAAGTGCTTAACTAATGAAGAGAAGTGCTTAGCTAATGAAGAGAAGTGCTTAACTAATGAAGAGAAGTGCTTAGCTAATGAAGAGAAGTGCTTAGCTAATGAAGAGAAGTGCTTAACTAATGAAGAGAAGTGCTTAGCTAATGAAGAGAAGTGCTTAACTAATGAAGAGAAGTGCTTAGCTAATGAAGAGAAGTGCTTAACTAATGAAGAGAAGTGCTTAACTAATGAAGAGAAGTGCTTAACTAATGAAGAGAAGTGCTTAACTAATGAAGAGGAGTGCTTAACTAATGAAGAGAAGTGCTTAACTAATGAAGAGGAGTGCTTAACTAATGAAGAGAAGTGCTTAAATAATGAAGAGGAGTGCTTAACTAATGAAGAGAAGTGCTTAACTAATGAAGAGAAGTGCCCAAAAAATGAAGAGAAAGAAGTACTAAGCAAATGAAGAGAAGAGAAGTGCTAAAAATGAAGATAAATGCAAAACAAATGAAGAAAAGAGAAGTGCTTAACTAATGAAGAGAAGTGCCCAAAAAATGAAGAGAAAGAAGTACTAAGCAAATGAAGAGAAGAGAAATGTTAAAAAATGAAGATAAATGCAAAACAAATGAAGAAAAGAGAAGTGCTAAACAAATGAAGAGAAGTGCTAAACAAATGAAGAGAAGTGCTAAACAAATGAAGATAAGTCCTAAACAAATGAAGAGAAATGCTAAACGAATGAAGAGAAATGCTAAAAAAATGAAGAGAAGTGTTTAACATTGATACATGTCAGATTAATGATTATTAATGACCTAAATTATTTATTTTGCTTAACTTAGGGGTTTTAATGTTAAAAATTAAAACTATAGAACTAATCATTTAGTTTTAATGTTGAAAAATTAAAATTATAGAACTAATTCTGTGGTTTTAATGTTGAAAATTAAAACCATAGAACAAGTCTGGAATTTAAATGTTGAAATTTAACACTATAGAACTAATTCATAAGAACAACATGCAGTGTCATCTAATTTAATCATATCTGGAATTTCAATCTTTCTAAAACTTCTTTCATAAACTCGCTACTTAGAAATGAAATGTTTAAAGATTACTGCTGACGTCATTTCCCGTCTTTAAACTGCGACCCAGATTTTTCAGAAGTATCTCGACACCAAAGACAACATTACGAGAATCGCAGTGGCGTCCACTCTGATCAAGGTGTACGCCCCTGAATGCAGTTACAGAGAAGGTGATTAACGTAACGAACTAGAATGTAAATATAAAGATACAATTTGAGATACAATCTGGTCAGTAAGTGTATTAGCTCTTATATAAATATATATCGATATAATTTGAGATACAATCTGACGAGAAAGTGTATTGACTTTTATATAAATATATCTATATAATTTGAGATGCAATCTGGTCAGTAAGTATATTAACTCTTATATAGATATTTATTTATATAAGATTTAATATACTTACTAGCCAAGGTGTATCTCAAATTTATGTATCGAACAAAATTTAGGGTAAAATAGAGAAATATTTAAAATGTTATTTAATTTCTATAAAATAAGCAACGGAAATGAATAATACTTTTAAAAGATATCATCTATACATCATCTCAAGGAAGAAACTTTAAAAGAATTGTGGGATACATATAATGAGATCCAAAATCAGTGCTGACATCTACTGGACATTCCATTTTGCACGTGACATCTAATGAACATTCCACTTTGTACGCGACATCTACTGGACATTCCACATTCAGGTGCACAAATTACTATTCAACAAACATTAATTTCTTTCATCGGTATATATTCTAATAAATTATCATAAGATACAAACAACAACATGCACCATAACACATTAACAGAATCAAATGCAAATGAAATGACCAGCTGTTGTGTCGTGCAAAAACCCGTATAATATCATGACGGATGCTATATGGGTTGGTTTTTTTTGGTTTTAATTGAAGACGACCCTATTTATCAGGCAGCTCTATTGCATTTACACGGAGCCGATGTCAAGAAAGGATCAATGGAACTTTTGGTAAGAGGATATTAAATACGTTATTGTTCATGAGCGAAATCTTTTAACTGGATGAATTTGAGTTTATGCACCACAATATTTGTTCAACGTTTTTTGCCTGACTTTTCACTGAATCCCTTTTCATAAATTTCCAGCAACTGTTAGAGAAGCTATAAAACAGACTATCTGAACGAAATTCTTAAGAAAATAATTCAGCTATTGAAAACAAAATAATTATAATCAACTATAGATTAAGCCAAAATAGCTTTCAAGATGTCCATGAACAAAATTGGATACAGGCAACTGCAAAATTTGACAAGCGCAAGTATGGACCAAGTGCATGGTCCTTTTTAAGAAACCTCAGTGGTATTCCAAAGGCATTTCTCTTCTAAGTAACATCTGGAGTGGACCTAGTTCATGGTCCCTTCTAAGTAACCTCTGGCGTGGACCTAGTTCATGGTCCCTTCTAAGTAACCTCGGGGGTGGACCTAGTGCATAGTTCCTTCTAAGTAACCTCTGGAGTGGACCTAGTTCATGGTCCCTTCTAAGTAACCTCTGGGGTGGACCTAGTTCATGGTACCTTCTGAGTAACCTCCGGGGTGGACCTGGTTCATGGTCCCTTCTAAGTAACCTATTGAGTGGACCTAGTTCATGGTCCCTTCTAAGTAACCTCTGGAGTAGACCTAGTTCATTGTCCCTTTTAAGTAACCTCTGGGGTGGACCTAGTTCATGGTCCCTTCTAAGTAACCTCTGGGGTGGACCTAGTTCATGGTCCCTTCTAAGTAACCTCTGGAGCGAACGCTGGAAATCCAAACCAAAACCAGCGTACTATGCAAACGAAAGCGAAACAGAAGCAGATCAAAATAAATCCGAAATCTTTCAAAAAACACTTTGCCACAATCATTAAGGCGAATACAAAGTCAGACAGTGGTCGATCCGTAATAGAAAATCTTAAGTCCAAAAAGAGAGAATTCCTTATGAAAGCATTGTCCTTTTCGAGGAAATTTTACACAGACTTAGCTCAACAGAGCAATGAAGAAATCTTCACACAGGCTGAGCTCAACAGAGCAATGAAGAAAGATTCACATAGACTGAGCCCAGGAGAATAATGAAGACAAGGTATACATCTGTCACAAGGTATGCATCTTTTTTTAAGTCCTTAATTGTTTTCGGGAGTGAGGGTAGTAACTTAAGAGACATAATTGTTGTATGCAACGATCTCCTTGCTATTGAACCACACGTGGAAGGAGATTCGATCAGTTTTGCTCTGAAGTGGATTCAATCATCTTTACCCTGCTTGTGTCAATCAAAGATGACTTTACATGCGCACATATACAATTGATGCCCCGAAACTGTCGACATTTCTACACGGGGGACACGGGCCGCGGCCTTTGTGGCCGATTTCAAGGAACATTTGTGTGAGCAAACTAAAAATCTGCTCCTATTTAATGGAAGTGGATGCCCCCCATTCTTTTAAAGTGGTTGATTGTAATGTTAGGGTTTTTCCTCAGGGTGCTTTGGCAGACTCAAATATTCCCCCCCCCCCCGGCCCCAGTACATCCTCCTCGCGTTGCACAAACCCTACCTAGGCCACTTCGTATCATTATTCAGTCGTTTTGCAAGTTTGGTCTTAAAGTTAGACTGACATAATTTTAAATTCAGGTCGTAAAACTATAACGGTCTGGACATGATTGCATAAACATTTTGATTACAAAAAATATCCCTTCTTCATTGAACCATAATTTAACTACTAAAAATGAAAAATTGTGGGGTTTTTTTTTTTTTTTTTTTTTTTTTTTAATTTAAACCACAATTTCCCCTCTGTGAACCCCGAAAACCCAAATAGTCCGAAAAACCCCAAACCCTCCAAAGGATTTTTCGCAAATTTTGGAAAATGGGTTTTTTTGTGGATTTTTTTTTTTTTTTTTTTTTTTTTTTAAATTAGACCACCAATTCCACTCAGTGCACCCCGGCAACACAGATGAGCAGCGAATCACCAAACTCTGGCAAGGTAGTGTCCGTAAATTAGGAAAAAGAGTTGTTTCGTTGAGTTTTTTTTTTACTGTCCAATAATTACTTTTTTTAGAAACATTTGATGAAATGTTTTGTTTTTGTTGTTGCTTTTTTTAATATTTAGAAACATACAAAATTAATTTTATAAGCATGTTTTATAAAAAAAAAAATCTTTATTGTGGATCAACAGGCTATAATGACTTACTATATATTTTCAAACATCTAACCTTCAAGACAAGATTTTGACGTCTTGATATTTTAACTGCGCCCTAATTTGACAAGACTGTTGAGATTCAATAAAACTACACAACGAACAAACAAAAATGAAATGTACCGTACCTAATAGTTAATTCTTAGCAGTTTTAAATGTTTCATTTTATGCACTTTACATAGGGCCAGCCAGCGATATCCAGTAACTACAGTGAAATCGACCTGCTCCTCATTGGTAAAACAGGAAATGGCAAGAGTGCAACCGCCAACACAATCTTAGGACGTAAATCTTTTGATTGCAAAGCAGCCACCACATCTGTTACAAAGGAAGTACAGTATGAACACACAGAGTTCAACGGCCGCATTATTACAGTTGTTGATGGACCAGGTGTTGTGGATACTCCCGGACATGAAAATATTCATGAGGCCACGAAGCTTGTCATTGATGCCATGCAGGATGCCGTCCTCCTAAATCCAAAAGGCTACCACGCGTTTCTCCTGGTCGTCCGCTACGGTGGTAGATTCACTGCTGAAGATACAGGCGTGATTAAAACATTGAAGGCCATCTTCGGCCAGGAGTTTGTCAAAAACTTTTGTATATTGGTTATGACTTGTGGAGATAGCTTCGCCGTGGATGAAATTGACAACGGGCAAACATTTGAAGACTGGTGCAAAGAACAAAAAGGTGTTTTTCAGCAACTGCTCAAAGAGTGCGAAAACAGGATTGTTCTTTTCAATAACGCCACTGAAGACAAAAATGTCAAAGACGGACAGATGAACGAGTTAATCTCGATTGTCGAAAATCTTAAATCTGGCGGGAAGCGCTACACCGATGAACATTTCCGAAATGTACAAAAAGCACGCGATGACCTGTTCATCGAACTTAAAGAACCCGTCATACGCCAGGAAACACTAACTAGAATAAGTCTAATCCTACACGACTTTGAAAAGTTGTCTGACGGGGAAGCTGGGGATACATTAGAGAAGTCCAAAGACTTACTTTTACAAGCCGAACAGCTGCAGAAACAAATACGCGAAGCAGATAGAGAGACGGGAATTTTAGAAGAATCTCTCTCTTCCGTGAAAAGTTTGGTCAAAACCTTGGAGAGTAAAGTTGCTTTTGAAACTCAAAGGAACGAGTTGCATTTGGAGATGGTGCGTAAAGAAAATGAGCTGAAGCAAAGATACGAAGAGGAGACACGTTTCTATAAGGAAGAACTGGAGCAACTTTATGAAACCCCGCCATTTCAAGACCAGCAGATGAGAATGGAACGGGTCACTGGTGAGGAAGAGGCAAAGCGGAAGTGGAAGAACGTCGTTGCCGAATACAAGGCGATAAATTTTCAAGTTGGGAAAATTTTGCAGAGTGAAATTGACGAGAAAGACGAGATATTAGCCAAAGTGCTCAAAACTGTAGAGAAAGAAAACCTCAAAGATGCATCCAGGCTGAAAACAGCCAGGCAAAACTATAAAAAGATGAAAGAGAAATACAACTGTGATGTTAAAGAGAATTTAAAGGAGAAATTTAAGGAAGATAAAACATGTCCCATCCTATAGAGAAATACGAATACTTTGAGTTATGACTGGAAATCAAGTAAACAATTGCTCTAGCGCGTGGTGATAAACAGATAAAACTGGTCCATACATCCCTTGGGGGCGCTACAGCCCATGTAGCGGTTTGGCCTGCCTCACCACTTCCTTCCACTCAGACCTAACTCATGTTTTTTCTTTCTTTTCCATGCTTGGATTTATAGGTGCTGTAAAATTGTTGTTCCCCACAACATCCAGCTATACGCACTCAGATAAAACTTGTACTCCCCTAAAATATATATTCCGATTACCCGAAAAAACATTTTTCTTTTTAAATTATATTTGTAATCCTAGAAGAAGAAACAAATTGTGTGTGTGTGTGGGGGGGGGGAGGAGGAGGAGGTTGGGTTCAACAAAACACTAGTAATATTAACAATAATGAAAAGTATTTTCTTACTTTTGTTTCATAGCGTGGAAAATTAAATACATTTTAAACAGTTTGTCTTCACAGATTTATATCACTATTATCATCATATTTATACCTTTGAGACTAACGTTGTATTGAATCTTCTTCTTAAAATGGTTTTTTCAGATTTGCTTTTCTTTGCCTTGAAATGGTGGTTAGCGCTATTTTTTTTACCACGTGAATTTCATACGAGATTTCATTCATAGTCTTAATTAGCGTCGTATAATTCGCATTTTAAAAAATTATTATATGATCAATTGTTTAAATTTATTGGATACATTGAAACATCCCGTTTATCTGAGGTGAATCATAAATGATTTATGATTTTTCAAAAGTTTGTTTAAAACACATTTGTTTGTTTGTCTTTTCCTACACGTTCACTTCACGGAATAAATTCAAGATCAACGTGACATTATCCTTTATTCCATCTGTTTAAATATCGCCAAATATCGATGTATCTATTTGTTTTCATTTCCGAAGCGCTGGAAATCCAAAAGGTGAACAATAATGTGAAAGCAATACCATGTTAGAAATATTATGTTGTATAACAAGGATACCCTTTTAAACCTAATATTGTGCAAGATTTAGTTTGTTGTTTTAACCAATAGCTGTCCAAACATATTGCAACAGAATGGTTTTCATGTCTTGCAAAGTTCTGGTTGCTTTGTTATGCTTCAAGCCAATATCAAGCTATCCATCAATTGTAATTAAGACCAAAGGCTGTGTCACACGATGGGACAGTTTCATCAAAGTATTGCATTCTGAACGATCCTGTCTCAAACTATACACCAGGTATCAATCAAGTCTTTACTACACTGCATTATGAACGATAATGTCTCAAACTATACACCAGGTATCAATCAAGTCTTTACTACACTGCATTATGAACGATAATGTCTCAAACTATACACCAGGTATCAATCAAGTCTTTACTACACTGCATTATGAACGATACTGTCTCAAACTATACACCAGCTATCAATCAACTCTCCACTGACATTTTAATTTAAAAAAAACTATCGTCTGATGCTTCCCTCAACAAGGTTTCCCCAAAGCATGGTTAATATAATGGAATGGAAAATATTCAGAAAGGTATGTGGGTCTGTAGCTAATAATAATTTATGGAGTTTTTGGACCGATCTGGATACGTATCACTTGTTCGAGGAACCAACCCTAGTAACGGCAATTTAAAGAGGCAGAGCCGAGCTGGGCAGTGCGGGGCAGTACCGGGAAATGTAGGTCAGTGCTTCTAACTTCAGGGCAGTGCTGGCAAGTTCAGGGCAGTGTTGGGAAGTTCAGGGCGGTGCTGGGAAGTGTATGACATTGCTGTTAAGTTCAGGGCAGTACTGGGAAGTTCACGGCAGTGCTGGGAAGAGCAAGACAGTGCTGGAAAGTTCAGGGCAGTAATGGGAATTTTGGGGCAGCAGAGGCGTAGCGAGTGGGTGGCAGGGGGGACAGATGTCCCCGGGCGCCAGCTAGTTAGGGGCGCCAAAATGTGCTTTGATATTATTTTATTGATGAAAATAATGGGTTTGAGAGTTGAAAAAAAGGAAAAGGGGGCGCTTTAAAATGGATCGTGTCCCCGGGCGCGAATCTTGTCTCAGGGCACCAAACACCCTCGCTACGCCTCTGCAGGGCAGTGCTGAGAAGTTCAGGGCAGTGCTGGCAAGTTTAGGGCAGTTCTGGGACGTGAAGAGCAGTGCCCGGCAGGATTGTCTACATGTCTGAAAAGGATTCTAATTTGATCACACATCATACATCGCCAAAACATGTTGGGTCCCACCTACTAAATTTGAAAGCTATAATCTTCTTTTTTTTTTAATTAAAAAGCTTCCATCGTGTATTTGGGTTGCTTAGGACACAGTGTAGTAGCAATAGATTTGAAGACTTATCTTTTTCGCAAACACCTGCTAGGGTGATGTTGTCTATCTAGCTAGGTAGCTGGGTGGCCTAGCGGTCTAAACTGTCTCAAACGAAATAGCTGGTGGTCTGGAGTTCAATCCCCACCAAAGCCATCCCAAGCAACCCGGGTGGATGAGACTCGTTAGCCTTGGACGGCAACCTGTCTAAGAGAAGGCAAACTCTGAATTTAAAACCAGGAGCCAGAATGATCAACAAATTGATCGTGGGCACCTCAAATATAAGAAGGATTATCATTTAGTTGTATATTGGCCTGTGTTGTTCATGTTTGCATGGTATGAAAGACTTAGAATGGGTATTCTTGTATGTAGTTTTGTAAGGTTGAATATTGCACTTCATTTTGGTATGTACCGCGCTTCGAGCCTTTGGGGATGAAGCGTGATTTTTAAATAATCTTTATTATTATTATTATTATGATTGTGTAGGTATCTTATTATTTTTTTATTCATAATTGTTCCATCCCCTTTTATTTCAAATACATAGAGTTAAAAACACTTGGAATTATTTTTGAACATATTTTTTTTATATTTATACAAACACAATTAATAAATAGACTATAGTCCTATACTAAGTGACATAACACTGTAGGTCAAAGGGCATTTAAACATAATTAGATTACAAAAGACAGTAGGTCAAAGCGCATTTAAACATAGTAAGATGACATAAGACAGTAGGTCAAAGCGCATTTAAACATAGTAAGATGACATAAGACAGTAGGTCAAAGTGGATTTAAACATAGTAAGATGACATAAGACAGTAGGTCAAAGTGGATTTAAACATTGTAAGATGACATAAGACAGTAGGTCAAAGTGGATTTAAACATAGTAAGATGACATAAGACAGTAGGTCAAAGTGGATTTAAACATAGTAAGATGACATAAGACAGTAGGTCAAAGTGCATTTAAACATAGTAAGATGACATAAGACAGTAGGTCAAAGTGCATTTAAACATAGTAAGATGACATAAGACAGTAGGTCAAAGTGGATTTAAACATAGTAAGATGCCATAAGACAGTAGGTCAAAGAGGATTTAAACATAGTAAGATGACATAAGACAGTAGGTCAAAGGGGATTTAAATCAATTAAGCTTTTTAAAAACATTTAGATCATGATTTTTGGGTTCAAGATATAAATCATCTAAGCCCTACTTTAACAAATTGGGCCGCTGACATTTTAACATCCAGGTGTGCCGGTGATTTTAGGAATATCAATCAGGAGATTATTTTCGGAAGGTGAGTACATTGCAAACTTGACAGGCTGCTAAGCTTCAAAGCATACGGGCAGTGTCGACCACTCTCCAACAGCTGCACGGGCGATTTCTGTCCGAAACATCAACATGTCTTTGAGAGGATTGGGGAGCTGGGAATTCCCGATGCGGGCCTCTCTTTCGGGGCTCTCGCCCATCATTGTGGAAGCTGCTATGAAGGCAAGATTGACCAATGGCCAGGGTTGGCAAGCAGCTCTTTGAATCAGTGCGTCTATTTTGCTATGATCAGGACCGAATCTTGCTGGTAGTGTGTACATGTTGCTTTGATTTTGTCTCAGTCTTATGTAGGTCAAATCTTTATTCGATACGTAGCAATTAGCAAGAATATATCTCAACAAGTCATAGTTGCCATGGCATAGACATAATTCTACATTAGTATCCAGTAGAATGGGAAAATATGTCTCAGTCTTATGTAGGTCAAATCTTTATTCGATACGTAGCAATTAGCAAGAATATATCTCAACAAGTCATAGTTGCCATGGCATAGACATAATTCTACATTAGTATCCAGTAGAATGGGAAAATAGCTCTTAAAACTTTTCGTACTGACAATGCCGTTGCAAATCAAAAGTCTTAGAAGTTCATTTATCTCCTTACCAACAAAGACAGTAGGACATCGTTGTATTAGAATGTCACGGTATTTTGACTTCAGCACTGGTTTCGCCCCCAGTTTTAAAAGTTCAATGACCTTTGAACTCATTCCCCAAGCCAGCAGTACTTGAGTCAAAGTTGTTCTACCCTGGTAATCTTCGGCTTCAAGATCAGCTCCACGTTTCACCAGTTTGTGACCGTAGTCCTTTTGATTGGTCCTGCTGTAGGTGTACATGAGGGCAGTGCGGCCAATGTTATCTTTAAGGTTAGCGTCCGCACCATGTTGCAGCAGAAGGTCCAAAATTCTTAATCGAACTATTCTTTGCATCTTTGTTTGAAAGCGAATGAGAATCGAAATGCTCGTTGCATACATTAAGGCAGTTTTCCCCTTTTTATTCTGAAGATTCACATTCGCCTTTGCTGCGAGGAGACGCAGAATAAGGCTAACCTCTGAAACTTTGAGTGCAGCGATTAACGGTGTGTCCCCATAGAGATCCTTCATATTGACATTAGCGCCATGTTGTAACAATAAATTCAGGACGTCATACTTTCGTCGCTTCACGGCACAGTGCATCGGAGTTTGGCCGTGCATGTTTCTTAAATTGACATCTGCACCTGCTTGAACAAACAACTCTGCAATGTCTTTATTGCCGGCCAATGAAAGGCCAGTGTTTCCAAACTTTGTCAAAGAAAGAGGATCAGCTCCCGCCTCCATGAGGAGCTTTACTGTCTCAGTACAGCCAGACTTGGCAGCCATGAGCAGCGCATTTTCACCTCGTTTGTTTCGAATATTGACGTCTGCTTCCGCCGCCAGCAAGACTTTGGCGACATTTTGAAAGCCATGTTTCAAGGCTCTCATCAAAGCTGTGTTGCCATTTTCAGACTGGATATTTGCAGAGGCTCCATATTTCAACAGCAGTTTGACATTCTTCCCACGGCCATTAGCCGCTGCCTTGTACAGTGGCGTTTCCGATCTGTTGTTTAACATATCCAAGTTGATCGTCTTCTCGTCTGTACATCTACGTCTCTTGTTTCCCAGCTTGATTTTTTTCTTGTCTTTGGCACGAACAGTTTGTACAAGGATACGTTGCATAATTCGAGGTTGTTTGCACTTTGCAGCAAAATGCAGCGCCACGTCACCAAACTTATTTTTGAAAGTTACGACGTCAGCACCAGAAGTCATGAGGAGTTCAACAATATCTAAAGAATTATTTGTAAACGCCAACATGATCAGTGTGTTAAAGTCGTGATCATGGGCGTTGACATTCCCCCCGTGTTCAAGTAATAGTTTTACATAGTCTTTATGACAACCATTCACAGCCATCACCATCGGATTCGGAAAGTTTTGAGAATTGATGGAGCATCCAGCCTTTAGAAGAATATGTAGAATTGTTTGGGATTTTTCAACGCCACCTGGCACACCCCTGTTAAAGAAAAATGTGTAAGGCATGTAAGACGGGGAAAGGTTAATGCCGAGCTTGGTTCTATCTTTACGTTTCTCGATTTCTTCAATGGCAAGCCTCAAAGCACGGATCAACACACCGTTGCCAAAGCTGTCTTTGGCATCTACATCAGCACCGGCCGCTATGATGTCCTCTACCAACTTGACATCGAGCTGATCCACCGCCAGCATCAGAACCGTTGTGCTGTCTTCGTTTGGTATATTGACGTCTGCCCCTTGTTTAATCAGCAATTTCGCCATCTCAATGGAAGGAGGTTTTCTAGAAAGGACCATCCAGAGTGGACTTTGACATGGTGTATGTGGTGAAGGCATTAAGTCTTGATCTGTGTTAGATGAGTCACTAGCATAACTAGGACTATATCTTTCCACGAGATTGTCTTGGGACGTCTGTTGAGCAGAAGTTGGTGGAAAGCTTCTGTTTTTCTTAAACATTTTGTTGACATCAGCTTTGGCCTTAATCAGAATGTGTGCTAACATTAGATTATCATTGTTTACAGCTATTGAAAGTGGTGTATTCCCATATCTGTCTTCAAGGTTAACATCTCCACCTGCTTCGATCAGATATTGGACAATGGCACATCTGCCATATCCAGCGCTTCTTAGTTCTTCGACAGTTACCGATTCAAGGTTTAAATCAATTACATTTGTACGATATGCGTTGAAACACCTTCCTTCCGATACAGATGCTGCGTGCAGCGCAGTTTGGCCATTTTTGTTCACAGCTCCAATATTTACTTTGGCGTTGATGAGGAGCTCAATTACTTCGATGTCTTTTCTGCGTGCTGCTTTGTGGAGAACTGTGTCACCATCTATATTAGTGGCATTTATGCTTGAGACAGTTCCAATGAGTAGCTTTACAATCTCAGTATTACCTACATCCACCGCTTTGTGGAAAACTGTGTCACCATCCGCATTTGGGGCATTGATATTAGAAGCAATTCCAAGCAGTAGCTCTACAATCTCAGTATTACCTACATCCACCGCTTTGTGAAGCGCTGTCTCGCCACTCTTGTTGATAGAGTTAGCATCTGCTTTGGCTTCAATGAGCAACTTAACAGCTTCAGTTTTACCACAATGCACAGCCTTGTGCAGCACTGTGTCGCAATCTTGGTCCTTGACATCAACGTTCGCCTTGGCTTTAATAAGAAGCCGGATGATTTCCAAATTTTTTAATTGATCTGTCTTTTGGAGTTCAGGTTCACGAAATCCCTCTGAAAAAGCAAAACAGGCTGCTTTGTGCAGTGCTGTTTGGCCATATTTGTTTGCAGCATTGATGTTGGAATGTGCTCCTATAAGTAATTTTAATGATTCAATGTTATTATTCTGAACAGATTTATGAAGAGCAGTGTCCAGGCTTGGAGAGGCAGCATTTACATCTACTCTATTGCCTATAAGAAGTTTGACCAAATCGGGTTGGTCTGAAGTTGAATCAAGGAGCAGCGTTCTCTCCAGTGACAATCCACAATTCATCAACTTTGTCAACAGCGACTGCCTGCCACTCTCGAATGCGACAGAAATTGCCGTTTTAAAAGGATTCTTTTTCGGTTCATCACCTGAAAAAAGTTTATTCTCACCTACGATGAGGTCTTGGAAGAAACATTTTGACACCGCCAATTCTAAGGCTTCGAGTCCCTTTTCACAGGAAAAATGTGCCCCGTTTTGGCTCTTGCATATATTTCATTGACAGTCTCATTATCGTCGACTGAATCCTCATAATAGTCATCATCATCATACCAGTTGACGTGGTAATCCATTTCTGACATGGCTGATGATCGAGAATTCAGTTGGAAATCAGGTATTCTGAAAGAAATAAACCTAAAAGATTTAGCGATGATATCACATACCATATCACTCGAAATCCATATTCACATTCACTCTTGCGACCATACTTCATCCATCAACGTGTCATCTTTCGACCCCTTCATTCATATATATATATATATATATACATTTTTATTCGAGAAGATGGGCAAATAACAATAAATTCTTTGAAGTTTAGGCTTGTTCACAGTCTTATTTAAATGCGTAATATCTGAATTTAAAAGTCCACAATTTGTTTGTAGATATTTACCTAGTAAGAATTCCTTTCTCTGTGCACACATGCTTATAAATGCTTTGCTCGTATGATAAATTTGAATTTATTCTCTTTTTAACGCATTATTCGCATGACGGAGATTATTTTTATAATAATTATATATAAATATTTTTAAATAACATTTTTGTAAAAACAACCCCTTAAACAATTAGTTTCGTATAACTCCTTTTTATGCAATTTGTATTTGCATTGATGTAATTAAACGTAATTTATCATTTATGTGATTGTAGCTTAACTAAATTTTGGTATGGAAATGGTTTCAATCAAACTTAGTGCTAGTAAAACCTAATAGACTAAAGATATATTTAAACCCAAATAAGCCACAAATACAAAGCCTACAGCAACTGCTACACAATTAATCTCCACACCAAAGCACGCACCCGTTGAACAGATCATATTTAATTCATCTTTACCTTGGAAAACAGAAGAAGAAATTTGGGGGGGGGGGGGGGGGGGGTTGGGGGGGG